GGCTGCTCCTTTCGGCTTCACGGGATTCGTTTCCACGGTGCGCAAAAGTGCCTCAGCCGCGGGCAGCCGCAGTGCTTCCCAATTACTATTTGCCGGCGTATAAGACGACCCGGCATATAAGACGACCCCCCCAATTGGAGGCATCTTTTTCAGGGCAAAAAAGTCATCTTATACGCCGGCAAATACGGTAATAACTTGACTCCTTTAAAAAAAAAAGTACGTATTAAGATTTATACTTTTATGGAAATTGATGTTTCTATCAAATGTAACATTTTCAGTGATATTTAAATATTTTATTCATTTGTTTTTCAGGATTATATTTTAAAGAAGATATTGCTAAATCTGGTATAGAAGATTGTGCCATTTTAAACATCGTTGTGATTAACCATCACTGAAAAATAACAAAATTGTATTCAGCCATTTGTTTCTACACCTTAAGCTTGAAGGAAATTAATTTGAATATGTCTAACAAAGGAGATGATTGTTATTTCTATTTCTACTCTACTTGTACAAAGGTATTTTTCATGGCAGTTGAGCCTTTTAAGCATATTTGTGCTATTTCATGTGTAACTCAATAAGTGCACCATATTCAATTTAACAACCCGCCTATTAATTTTAGTGAATTTCTTGATGTAGTTATGGAAGATATGTACTATGTTTATGTATAGGAAATGCAAAAATGAGTTAATAGAATTTGATTTTATTAGGCAAATATATAATTGACATGTCTCATTTATTATATTTTGGGTATAGTTATTCACATAGTACCAGTAAAGAGCTGATACAACGATCAGCTTTTTTGGATTCTTTATACTCATACAAGTATTACATTATTTTCTAAACCTTTTATATATTCATATATCCACAGTATGGATAAATGGAAAATTTCTCAATTGTTCTTTAATTTATTTTTTTAGTTTGCCATTCCAAAACTGGGGAAGGGGCATCAGAAGAACTAACCCTGCTTCTGGAGCAAGTGAAGTGGAGATACCCACTTTCACATTGCATGCTTTTGTAGTACCAAATGGAACTTTATAGCAAATTCAGTAAACCATTCTCCCATAAAAATGAATGAATGGTTGCTATTCATTGCAGCATTGAAGGCTGGAGTTGCTTTTCACATTTTGAATCATGACTCTTAGGATGTGAAATTATTGCCATCCATCTTATTATTATAGCTGTCTTTATGCTATAAAGAACATTGTTCTTAAATGTAACTTTATGTATATTTGATTGCTCAATGGGATAGGTTTAATTTGATTTAACTTGATTATTTCAATCATAATCAATAATAATTTAAATAATTCATTTGCTAGTCAGGAAAATTCTATTCTCGCCATTTAGAATACATTTGCTTTTTTCTTGTTTTATATGGCCTATAATTTTTTTCCTTGTTTTTTCATTTTTATAAGTACATAGCATGTTCTCTCTCTCTCTCTCTCTCTCTCTCTCACACACACACACACACACACACGCACACACGTGTTTGTACATGCACAGAGAGAGAGAGAGTGTCAGGTTTGTATATATTGGGACGATAAGCTTTTGGGCATTTGGCCTCTGGGTACTACCATTTGAAATAAAACACTCAGATGTAAGGGATTTCAGCTTTAATTCAAGGAATTTGAGAAAAGTGCCAATACTTCACAAACTTCACTTTGCTCACATCTTGAGTGTTTCATTTCAAAGTCAGTGTAAGTCTTGCAGGGAGATCAGCTGAGGGAGAGGTGCTGTGATATGAGTCTATTTGCATGGTGTTGGATTTCACCCATAGATCTTAATCATTCACTCTCTACCATAGGGGGATAATTGCCCTTTTCGTCACTGTGAAGCTGCCCTTGGAAATGAAACTGTGTGTGTGCTCTGGCAGGAAGGTCGATGCTTCAGGAGTATTTGCCGCTTTAGACACATGGAGATTGATGTAAGTGTTTATATAACAGCACAATAAAGCAGTACATTTAATCTGATGGCATTTCGGAGGAAAATATGCACTGTTGAAATTAAATAGATTACAGTACTTTAGTTATGGCCTTGTTTCGACTTTCATAGGGTATTCCCAGACCATCAGTATAAATAATGTTGCACATGTACATATAATGTTAAAGTTCACCATGGATCAGAGCTTCAAAACACCTTTCTAGATAAATTTGAAGTTGGAAAAGTGTCTTTGTTAAATGTTTTAACAATCTAAATTGGAAGAGGCTATATAATCTCTAATTGCAGGTTTATAATATACAATTATTGTATTTACAGGGGCAAAGGTCTGTAAATCATTCTGCCTGTTTTCCCATTGTTTTCTGTCCTTCATGGAGAGAAAAAATAAAAGTGTAAATGTAGAATAGTTAAATGATGAAAATGGTCTATATTTGGAAAAAAAGATGAACTATGAAGGAGTATCAGAGCTTATCACAATACAAGCAGACCTTCAAAAGTTTCAGCAAAGGAGGTCTGGAATGTAAGACCAATTAGACAGTACATCAGATGCCATATTTTGACCCTTAGTTTCTTCTTTTTCATTCATCACAAGATTTTTTAAAATGTTTTAAAATTAAATCATCAATACATTTAAAATTATTATCTGAACTGTATTTTTTCTGTTTTTTATAAACAAATTTTATACATATATTTGAAAAAATATATATACAGTATATATTTGAAATAAAGCAATGTAATTTATAAGTTATAACAAATTTGTTATATTAGATAACAGGTTTATTTGTAAAGGATACTAAAAATTATATATTTCCATTTGTATAAGATTTATTGATTTTTCAAAGTTAAAAAAAAATCATATTCCTTGAAATGTTAAGTGCCTAATTATATTGGAGGATGTAGTTGATAATAAGACCTAGAAAAAATTTTATTTGGCAAACTGACATAAATTCTAATCTATTAAGAGAGAGGTGAAAATGGTTATATAAGATCCAGTATAAGCAGCTGTACTTATATACTGTATGTTTGTGTGTGTTGAGTATTTTCCTTGTTACATCTCCATTCAAAAAAACTCCTGAATTCTGATATACTTTTAGGAGATGTGAGTGATTGTGACCTGAACATCCTTAGAGGACTACCACATGCTGTCCTCTGAGTCTGCCTGTTTTGATTAAAATTGTCTGAATGCGCAGAAGGAAACTGATTTTTTTAAAAAAATTAGGTAATATAATGATATTTTGTGTTAAAATGTCATATTCAGATGCTTTTTTGTAAAGACCATGTTAACTGATAGCATCTTGATGATGTTGCCTGAATGGCTCAAGCCTTGTTTAAATAATTTATATGGCTGTCCAACTTGAAAAGCATGACTCAGGGAAGCTTACAAGAAATACCCCATCTCCCCAGTAAACAATGAACAATAATAATTGGCTTCTTGATTCACATACATACATACATACTCCTAATGGAAACTTATTCATCTTATTCAGCCCCAGTGCTTGGAGGAATAACCATGCTTTTAATGCCTTTCTAAAGATTAGCAGGGTCAGGTTCAATTGAAAATTTAGGGATGATTATTATAGGCATTATTACTGGCCCCCTTTACTTGGCACTATTTTAAGAAAAGGACTCAAAGCATGTTCACTGTATTAGAGTGAGTAGGATATGCAGATATCATTAGGGAGCTTATCCATAGATAATATAGAAGCTGATGAGGAACCAGTGCATCTTGTTATGTGTGCATACTGAGGTGTGCCCATAACTATCTGCACCATTGCATTCTGGACCAACTGCAGCTTCCAGTTTTCAAGGATAAACCGATCTCTCAACCCAACTCACCTGACAGAGTTAATGTGAGGAAAACTGGAGGAGGTAGAAGTATTAGAATGTTCACTGCCTTAAGGGCTTTATAAATTTATTTATTATTTAGTATATGTCTCATAATACATGGACTAGCAATATATATTAACATTTCGCCTAGATTAATACAACACCATAAAATAGAAATGTTAAAAACATCTATGTTCAAATATGAATGTCTGGGCTTAAATGGCCATTGAAGCACAGCATCGTTTATATTTAAAAAAAATCAGATACTGGACTAGTATGTGCCCTCAGCTTACAGTTGGTCACAATGTAATCTACAGTTTGACAAGGACTCCACAGTCACACTGAGGGGAAGTTACTATGCCTCGTTTATACAGAGAGACCTGGTAGATGCTGTGTCAGGTGTGAATCCTATTCAGGATTGTCCATTGCTGACATGGTAGTTCAAAGCCTGGCACCTTTTTGTGGGGTCCTTTATATGTCTAGTGACTTCCAAAAATAACTTTATAGTTATTTATAAAAATAATAAAGATTGGATGAAATAAAAATAAATACACAAATAAATAAATAAGCAAATGGTGTATTATAATAATCTAGTCTAGAGGTGACTAAGGCAGTGACAACAGGCAGGAAAAGTGGATAATGCAAAGTAGTGCAATACCGTGTTTCTCATATAATAAGGCTGGGTCTTTTTTTTTTTTGAGCCCCCCAAAAATGGCTAGGCCGTCTTTTCGGGGGGTGACTTAATTCCCCCCCCCTTGCATCTTTGGGTGGGCAGGCGGCGATGGCTTGGATGTTGACCTCAGCGCTGGTGGGGCACTTTGTATCGGGGTCAACGCAGGCAGCACCATATCCGGGTGTGCAACAAAAGTACTTCCTAATGGCAAGCCCCCCCCCCATTCCCCCCCATTCCCCATGTTTTAATATAGGCCTTAATTTGGGGGGAGGGGCTTAATTTCATTTCATGCCTATAAAACATGCTGGGACTTCCTATTGGGGGAGGCCGTATTGTTGGAGAAACAGGGTAGTTGCCACATGCTCTTTGTATAATTCTGTGTATCCAGGAGAATCCCCAAATTGTGTTATATGTTATATGTGTGGAATTACATAGTACTATTCAGAGCCAAAGATGAAAATCTCCAGTTCTAAGATGTAGATCCAAAACTCATAGCTACTCAAGTTTTCCCTATCTATCCACTAGCAACAAGCAATGTGCCTTCTGGTAAACAGTATTACTTGTATTGGGTTTTTTTGTATCATCTAAATGCACTGCATGTGCTGCTTTCTTAATTCTGTAAACTTTGCAGGCTCTTCTGTATATAATTAATAACTTGTGATTTGTCTTCAGAAAAAGCGCAGCGAAATACCATGCTATTGGGAGAATCAGCCATTGGGCTGTCAGAAATTGAACTGTGCTTTTCACCACAACAAGGGACGTTTTGTGGATGGGCTTTTCTTACCTCCAAGCAAGAGTAAGTTAAATGTTTTTCCTTGGAAAATTGTGGTAATTTAATCTAAATACAAACTTTCTTGCATTCTATTGTCAGAGTGCGTATACCTCTATAAATATAATAACAAAAACTATTCTGGACTCATTAAGACTATAACACCCCACCGAATCGTTATTATTCATAATAATTACCGGTTCCACGTTAACAAATGGTTTATAATCCAGTGGAAGAGATCCAGGCTTTTGTTGCTTATGTGACAGCAACTTCATCAGTTGAACTTTTTCTGTTGAAAGTTTCCTATTTGATTCAGATAACTTCGTCTCATATACACAAAGAAAACTTCTATGCCAGTCTCTTTGGGAGTAAACTTCTTTTTACAAAATGCAGTACAAGAATAAGAAGTAGTAAGCAGGGTAAGAAGTAAGTAGTAAGCAAAATAAATACAAATGGATGGACAAGAAAAGAAAATGTAATTGCATCTAGTTTATACTAGTACCATTTTCTTTATTGTATTTTATTTTTAATTTATTTTTCACATTTCTGAACCACCATCTGCCTCAAAGAAGGAATATTTGAGGTGTACACAAAATGTTAAAATATAAACATTAGGTATAAAAGTTCAAAACTTTAAGAGGGGGTAAGACTTGCAACTATCTGCTGGCTTCCCATTAACTTTCTGGGAAAGTTGGCAGAGAAGATTGCAAATGGCCATCACATTATTACAGGATGCTTGGCAACTTGTGACCCATTGGCCAAATGCCTAACTAGAAGGGTGATACAATGTTCTACAATGGCCAGAAGTGCTTTACACAGGCCATAAAGTATCGTTTCTGAGTCAATTGTAACTTTGAATGATCATTAAATGACTGTCATGAGCTGTATATATTGACCCTGTATATATTATGAGTAATGGACTGAATTCAAGCATTGCGATTCTGTGAGTAGAATTGTTGAAATCATGGAATTTATGTCAGTTATTACTACTAGATTTTAATGAATGAGTTTGACCAAACTAAATGGATTATTTGATGTTGTTTCATTGTTTAAGCTGTTCTTCTAAACGTGCCTGAGTCTCCAGAAGAGGAGATGAAGACTGCACAACAAAGCAAGCTTTCTGTTCAGTCCAACCCATCACCTCAGTTGCGTGGAGTGATGAAGGTGGAAAATTCTGAAAATGTTCCCAGTCCCACACATCCACCGGTTGTTATTAATGCAGCAGATGATGATGAAGATGATGATGGTGAGCTAAGTGTGATTTGTTCAACCTAACATAATTTTAAATTAAAGGGAGAATGAGTATAGCAGATAAAATCTAAAATGAAGATACTGTTTTCTTGGACCATTTGCTTGGACTGATTTTTCCCCAAACTCATCAAATCAAACTTTTAATTTAAGAAAGATCTTACCTTTTACAAAGAGGAAATCCAGAGATGTTAGCTAGAATTCCCAAATGATTTTAATGGTTGCTTCAGTTGAAGCTTCATCTGGACAAGGTGTTGTTTTTGCTCTCCATGTCATCATATATATTCAGTCACTTGTGTAATTGAACTGCATTGTTAAAGTTGAGGAGGGGAAAAGATGTAAAGCCCCAGGTGAGCGCTATAGTACATTGGCAAATGGCATCTCAGTTATTGCCAGATATCATTGTCTCTGCTTCTGTTAAAAAGGCAACAATACTTCTTTAACAGCTCAAGGATTTGGATCAGTTTAAATCTGGTTGATGAGAGTTCCTTGCTGAGGATTAGGTACTTCTTTCATTGTTCACTAGGCAATAGGATAATATCCCCCCCCCCCCCAAAACCACTTAAAAAGTGAGAAGCATTTGCATGTAAAGTTAAACATGAATCTCAGCCACTTGTTCTGTATTTTCATATGAAAACTGGAATCTATTATTGTTGCAATAATAATCAGTTAATATATGTAGATTCAGGAAACCTTCATGGAATACTGAATATTTAGCAGTTTCCCTTTTTTTTAAAGAAAAGAATTGGAAACTATATAAAGTTCAATAATTTTTTTTTAGTAATGGTATTAGATTAGAATTGCATATCAATAGTAATATAGTAATCAAATCAAATTATCACTTTAAAACCATTGTCAAAAATTAAGAATTAGCAAAGGTAATCAATATAAAAAATCAGGAATATAGTGTAAACCCATGCACAAAATTTAAGTCCATTAATGATTCATAAATTCAGTATCAGACTTGTTTTTTAAATATAGTTACTTTATTGATACCCATTTTTATAGCATGCCATTCTTCTAAAGAAGGTTTAAATATATCTTTTTAAAATGCAGTCCAAAATTACATACTTAATAGTAAGTTGTAGAGTCTCATGATTTAGTATAAAACCCCAAGATATAGCTCAATAACCATCCTAACTTATGAATATAGAAAGTATACATTAAACATTTATTTTAGTGTTAGGGCTACATATCATTTCTGTTAAGAAATTATGGATAGTAAATGAGTAGCACTCCTAGACACATTGAGAAGGGCAACCCGCCGGTCTACTGATTTAAGATAAATAAACAGGATTAGATGAATAAACAGGATTAGAATTAAAGTAACATTAGTGTTCCTTTCAGATCAATTATCTGAAGAAGGTGATGAATCTAAAATGCCTGCTCAACAACCACCTACAGAAAGTCCAAATGGATTGAGGGTAATTTCTACTCGGAAATCAGTGACTAGTGCAAATCAAGATAAAGGTAAGAACAAAGCATGTAGTATTAAGATTATATTAATTTCCTCAATTATCTTAAATGTGGAAAATTTACAATCTTGTCAAATATTGTAAATGTTTGGTTTCTGGAATTTTATATACATTTTTCAATCAGATATCTGCATTTTTCAGATAAAAGTTTTAATTTTGGGATCAAAACTCTTGAAGAAATAAAATCAAAGAAAATGAAAGAAAAATCAAAGCAGCAAAATGGTTTGTTGATTTTATTTCTTTCATAGTGTCCTATCATGTCCTCTTTGATAATTTCTTGGAGAGTGTATTTGTGCATTGTTAAGAAGTCCATTGTGAAGATTTACTTAATTTTGTTTTAAGGTGTTGCTCCTGTATAATCTGATAACACTAATACCTTACTTGGTTATTGCTTAAGGAAATGAAGAACATGACTGTAGTGTTATGTTTTCCTTTAGTTGTAATGATTTATAAGTTTAGTGACTAAGAATATAAAGTTCTGTTTCAGCTGCAAGCTCACCTGGTATTTTGTATTCCATGATATATGCAGCATTGAGGTCTAGAAATGATGTCTATCGACTACGAGTACAATTTGTTCTAAATAAACTTTATTGAATTCAGGTTTTTAAAGATTTTTTTTATGCCACCTTTATTGTTTTAATAAATAATTCAAGGTGGAGAAGATATCTAATACTTCTTCCTCCTCCTATTTTCCCCACAACTGTTAACATATGAGGTGAGTTGGGCTGAGAAAGAGTGATTGACCCAAAGTCATCCAGCTGGCTTTCATGCCTAAGGAGGGACTATAACTCACAGTTTCCTGATTTCTAGCCTGGTGTCTTAACTATTAGACCAAACTGGCTTTTAGTTGGGTTGCTTTCTTACAAAGCATGTAAACATAAGCTTCAAATCATAAATAATGGCTGCTGTGAAAGTTAACATAGCTTTCTTTTTGCTTTCTTCAGATATTCCTTCTGAAATGATTGCTCAACCAGGCCCAGAGAAAGAAAATGCACGGACTGTGGTCAGAACTGTAACTTTATCTACGAGGCAAGGTAAATCTGTCTTTACTTTTTATTTCATTTATTTTTATGTTATTTGTTCTAGCTGTGGAGTAACTACAGTTCTGTTTTTTGTTTTTGATCAGGATTATATGTTTATATAGGAATTTAGGCATGATGGAACTTCATTTGACAGTATTTAAGATTTGCAACAAGACACGGGTCTGAAATTCATTGGTTATAAAATGGTCATTTAACAGAAATATGGCTGCAAAACTATCATGTCGTAATTCACTTTTTTCTTAAGAATGACTTCTATGGAGAAAATAACTTGGTTATTTTTTATATTTAATACTCTTCTAACTTCACTCTTTAATGCACACTAGCATTGCCATGAATAGATAAGTCCTATCTTAATTCACATTCCATGTAACTGAAGGGGGCAATAGTTGTTTATGTTTGTAGTAGGAAAGCAAAAGTTAACTTTTCTTGTATTTCACTGTCCTAGGTGAAGAGCCTCGGATTCGATTAACACTTGCAGAGAGATTGGGGAAAAGGAAGTCTCCCATGGGTGAGTAATCAGATGGGGGGAAAAGGTACTACAGGTAATCCTTGACTTATCACCACAATTGAGCCAAAAAGTTCTGTTGCTATGTGACTCATTTGTTAAGTAAATTTTGCCTCATTGTATGACTTTTCTTACCATAGTTGTTAAGTGAATCAATGCAGTTGTTAGGTTAGTGACATGGTTGTTAAGTGAATCTGGCTTCCCCATTAACATTGTCAGAAGATCACAAAAGGGACATGACCCAGGGACATCAACTGTCATAAATGTGAGTGAGTTGCCAAGCATTTGAATTTTGATCACATGATCATGGGGATGCTATAGCGCAGGGGTGTCAAACTCTATCTCATTGAGGGCTGCATGGTCAGGGTTGTGTTTGACCTTGGAGTGGGGTGGAGGTTGTGGCCAGGGTGGGCATGGCCAGCTCAATGTCATTTGTGTCGGTGGCGCCTGTGGTGGCCTGAGTGCTTTGCCAGCAAAAACGGGCTCCTGAGCTCCGTTTTTGCCTGTGACTGCCTCTTCCAACCCTCTGCCAGCAAAAACAGAGCTCGGAGGGCCACCTGCAGCCCTCCTGAGCTCCATTTTCACGGGCAGAGGCACCGCGGGCCAGTCCTTCACTGGTTCCAAGGCAGCCCCATGGGCCAGATCTAAGCAACCTGCCGGGCCAGATCCGGCCCCCCAGACCTTGAGTTTGATACCCCTGCTATAGCGCGGTCATAAGCGTGAAAAATATTCATGTCACTTTTTTCAGTGGTGTCACTTTGAATGGTCACTGAATGAACTGTTCCAAGTTGAGCTCTACCTGTACTGAAGGTCTGTTCCCCATACCATCATTTGCTGTATATCACAACCATGTTTCTCTTTATCTATGCATAGATATACAAAGTTCAAGGAATGTATTCCCTTCATTTCTAGCACTTATTGAATTACCTCTGAATAGAATTAAAAGCACAATGGATTTTTATTGTATCTTGACTAGAAATATTCAGTTAATCTATTTATTGCATTATGAAATTATTTTTATATGAAAGCGCACTGGGCTCATACCTACTGAAGGCAGATTACAGTATTGTCTAAGTAAATAAGGCCTATAATTTCAAGTAGTGACATATGTGTATAATGCATAAGTAGTAGAAATATTTAAATTTTTAAAAAATGAAACATAAATTTATTATCTTTTTACCATAAGGCACCGAGACTGGAATTCCATTAAAACGTAGCCTTGCTGATAGACTAGGGAAAAAAATGGATTCACTTGAAAGTACAGAAAAAACACCAAAAAGAGGTATGGCTGTTCCATCAATAAAATATATTTTATTTATTTCAGGTATAGATTATATTTAAAAATAGATAATATTCAACTGTAGAAGTGTTCTTAATGTTTGTTTATTTAATATATGTTTGATGAAGAGAGCTTAGAAATAATAACTCATGGTTATGCTCTCCTTTTAGCTTTTCCTACAGCAACTAAATAACTTCAACATCTTCATAAGGCTACTATTTATTCTTAGAATAAGTAAATCATAATTACATAATGAGAAAGTCTCTGACCATTTTTCATGGATAAAATTTAATGTTTTAATTTTATGTAGAAAATATGTTTCTATAGCCTTCCAGAAAATTTTCTCTAAAACAACTCCAAAGTTATATATCATATTTATTGTAGTAGTATGTGTACTTGAGGCTTCAATATATTAGATGGGGTAATAGGTAAATGCATCATGCATGTAATGGTGCGTATAAATTGCAAGAAGCCATGTGTTTGATTCCCAAAAATTTTTTAAAATGAAAAGTGACTATCACTGACTTTATCATTCTTGATTTCAGTTCAAGCTCCCAGAGCTCTTAAAGAAAGACTGGGATTAGCATCTGACCAAAGCAATATGGAAACAGGTACTAATTTTATTTTAATACAATAAAGCTTTCTTTCTATAGTGAATTTTTGCTCAGCTGAATCCTCTGCAAATTTGTTTAAAAAGCATCTTTTTTGGACTGAATGTTATGCCTTGCTGGTTGAATACTGAACTATAACTTAAACTTTTTAAAAAATAATCAGCATTGTATTATAAATTCCTTTTTTAAATTTTAGAAGTTCTGTGTTTGTTGAAATGAAGAATTTCGTTCATCTATTTTTATCATATATTTAATATCTTACAATTTTTTATTTTGAGCTTTTAGGTCATTATATGAAAATCTGGCAAATATTGAAAAGAACTATTTATATTTTTGAAGTACAAGCCACTTAAAGTGAAACAGAGAATAACAATAGTTTGTGTGTTTGTTTTTGTCTCAGTAAAACAATTGGGGAGTACAACATTCTAGTGGGCAAAAAGTGTGAGATCTTAATGAAATTTAAAATATAGTCCTGGTATAAGTTTTAATTATTTGTTTTGGTGATTCAGAGTCTTTTGCCAAACCAACTGGTGAAATCTATATTAAAACACTGGAAGAAATTCGCTTGGAGAAAGCTGGCCAAAAAATGGGAGAAATGCACCCCAAACCCAACGTTGAAGTGGCTTGTATAACAAATCCCAATCCAGTGTCAAAACCTCCTACAGTACGGATCAAAACTTTTTCCGAAGTCTTGGCTGAGAAAAAACAAAGGCAAATGGAAGAGGAGCGAATAAAAACAGAAACAGAGACTGTTTCCAAACCAAAGCATGAGTGTGAACCTCGGAAAGAAGGGCTTCTGAGTACAGCTGTACCTAAAAGAAGAAAATTGGAAGAGTCTTCTGTCAAAACCAAGGACTTTAGGGAAGTTCATATCAAAACTCTGGAGGAAATCAAGCAGGAGAAAGCTCTCCGCATGCAGCAAGGTTTGGAGAGCACATCAAAGACACAGATACAGTCTGAACGAACTATAACTGGGAGAAGAATGTTGCATGTTACAAAGCTGACAGGTATCAAACTTTCCTTGTTAAAGTCTTTAATTTTCTGAAGGATGCATTCAGAATGTATTCCTCCCAGTTTCATCTTGAAGCCAATTATATAGGAGACAGATAAATGCTCTTGGTCTGGATCTTAAAATACAGCAGTACCAGAACTCTTCATGTTATATGCTAGGTGCGTTAGTACCATGCCAAAAATAAAGATGGAGGAAACTAACTCTTACTGTTCCTCAGATTGATCTCTGTATTTCAGAATTGAGAAGCAAAATAGGTTTAACAATTCCCAATCTCAACCATGTCTATTTCATTTTGGAATTCCTTGCTTATTTTTTTAATGGCAAACCAAGTATTTACAGTGATTTACATTAGTTCTGGAAGTAAAGGTATAGTAAATAATGAAATACTTACATGTTTAGAAATTATTATGATATTCATTTACATTATCAGAACAGACTGATGATTGCCTTTTTTTAAAAGTCATGCTTTTGATTGTTTAACATACTAGAAAAATGCATTTCTGAGAAATTCACAGGTTAGAATTACCAACTACAAAAATCATATGATTTGATTTAAATACGATATAAAAATGGTTGCCATGCAATCGTGGTTTGTGATCTCTTCAGAATTATAAATAAAATATAGATAATTCTCAAGTGAGAGAATTATCTGTGCTTCATTTTAGTCTTATTAACAGATTTTGATTAAGCAAACAACATTGACAATAGTCTACTGTGGATTATATCAACAAATTCCATAAAATATCAGGATATTTATCCATCAAGTGCAGCTTAAACAAATGTATTCCTAAACATGCAAGTAAATTTATAACAATGTCTGAAAAAGAAAAAAAAAAATCACATTTCAAAATAACCAATCCAAAAGCCTGAGCTAATGTGTCATGACTAAAGTGAGTAATTCTGAACAACACAGCCCCAAAAGATCCAGTTGAAGCAATTTAGTAGACGAGAGTGGTCCAAAATACGCCCAAGCTGAATGTGAGATCAAGCAACAAGTTAAAATAATTTATACTAAAAAAGTGACATCTAATACTTAAGATAGTTTTTCCAATAAACATAATGAATAGGGGTTCAGTGGATTCAATTGCGACAGTATTTAGTTTTGTATTTGTATTGTCTATTCAGAATCTCTATAAATATCAGCTATTTAAAGCTCAGATCATCTTGTATATCATAGTATTTTATAATTATGGATAATTCTAAAGGTTTCCCAAACTTTCAGCACTCTACACAAAGGTGGGTAGAAAAATTCCAAAGTAATAATAATACGCTTCTTGGCTTCAAAACTTGGGAAAGTTTGTTGAAAAGTTCAAAGAAATTGCTTATTCTTCCATAGTGAGTTCTGTGCACTCTACAAGTCATATCATGCTATCCTGCCCCCATATCTCATTTTCAGACCTTCAGAACACTTGGATGGGAGTTTGGTAGCAAAACAGTACAATTTTAGCAGCTCAGTTCGCAATTTTTAAAACATGGGGATTAATAGTGAGAATAATGACAGTTTGCCTCCGAGAAGCCCATGTGTCCCATTTCCACCTATGAAAAGTTTCAAAAGGCAAAAAGTCAGCTGAAAACACTGGTCATAATGCTTTTAATGATATCTGTGACTTCCTGCAACTTTCCAGAGGGATGGGGAACCTCTGCTGCCCTTGAGCAATCAAAAGCTTGGCACTGCCCTACGTTCTGGATTTGGAATGTATTTTTTTTTTTATATATTTATTTAAAAATTTGTATCGTTGCCTACTCACTCATAGTGACTCAGTTTACCTACAACACACAATGTAGAAAAAATGATTTAAAAAAAACCTCAATAACCCCCACCTCGGCAGCAGCACATGATTAAATAAGCCATTGTTATTCCAAACAATGTTATAGAAAACTGGTGGTGGCATTGTAGTTCTTTTAGAATTATCCCTATGATTTGTCAACAGCTCCTGAAAAGGAAGAAAAAACTCTGGTATTGAGGTCTTCTCCAAGAATTTCTATAGGAAAGATTGCTACAAAGGTGAGCTTCATTGTACTGTAAGAAGATAGCTTTTGTGAATGCACATCATCAAGATAGCTTTTGTGAATGCACATTGTGAATGTATCATCCTTTTATTTAGTATATTTGGAAACTAACATCTGGTATTTTAATTAGGAGTATTTGACATGATAAAAGAGATATCATTCTCACTCTTCTGAGTTAATTAGATCCTATTGTCATGAATAATAACCAACAGTTGAGGTTATGCTACGAAATAGACTACTGATTATAAAACAAAAATACTCTTAATGAAGATCAAATATTTAGTATAGAATTTTGTTCCATACAATTGTATTCATTCATCTGTTTTCAGAAACAGGATTTAAGTAGGAAATTATAATCAAGTTGATCTCCACTTCAGTTGCATTTCTTTCTGACTTTAGGCTTCCACCAAGAAGCGAAGCATATGTATAGTCGCCATAGATCAGGAGCGTCAAACTCAATTTCATTGAGGGTCGCATCAGGGTTGTGTTTGACTTTGGGGGGCTGGGGTGGGCGTGGCCAGCTCAACGTCACTCATGTCAGGGGCGCCTATGGTGGCCTGAGCACTTTGCCAGAGAAGACGGGCTCCTGAGCTCCATTTTTGGCAGCAACGGCCTCTTGCAATCCTCTGCCAGTGAAAATGGAGCTTGGGACGGCTGCATGCAGCTCTCCTGAGCTCCGTTTTCGCTGGCAGAGGCACTGCGGGCTGATCCTTCTCTGTTTCCAGAATGGCCCTGCGGGCCAAATCTAAATACCCCGCAGGCCAGATCCAGCTCCCAGGCCTTGAGTTTGACACCCCTGCCATAGATTGTGCTTTTAAATAAATATAAAGATATATTTATTTTTTATAAAGTGCATAACACCAAAAACGTAGATTGAGAGATACTGTCTGCCCTAAAGGCTGTAATAAAGATTTATATTTGATTTGGGTGGAGTGATAAGAGCGTGTGCATTTTTAAAGGACTTACATTAATTGCTTATTGGACATTTGTTTTTTAAAAAGTATTTCTTTTGTATCTATGCAGCCTTTGAATGATAGTGTGAGTAATTCACATTCTAAAGTCTATGTGAAGAGCTTAGAAGAAATAAGGAAGGAGAAGCAACGGTTAAAGCAGCAGCAACAAGAGGAAAAGTCCCAGGAACTACAAGTGACTGTGCCACTTGTTGGGGAAGAAATAGCAGAAGGAAAAATGCCAGAAGTGACTACAAATTCTGAATCCTCAGTGACTATGGGGAAAACGCGTCCACTTTCCAAAAGATTGTTGATGAGATCTCAGGAGGGAACATCAGAAGACCTGAGACTTTGCCCTCAGGTTGCAGAACCAAGAACGAAGGGTAAAGTTTTCTTTCCAGAATACTTCCTTGTTTTTAAATAGAAAACATTTCTGATCTGCAAGTTATACTTGAATATTTATCAAGTTCTTGAGCTAATGGCAAACTGTATAATTAATTTCTTTTCTTAATATGCTTTGGACTTAAGGAAAAATCAATAATAATGCTAGTTAGGTATCAGCAATTGCTTGTCTTGAGAGATATTATCTCAATGGAAATAAGCACAGTATTGTTGAATGTGTTCTAGAAAATACATCTGGAACTTTCTTTTTCTATTTGTGGATCAGTTTATTCTGATTGTTTCAAGAATAGCATTGATAGTCCTATGGAAAGTAGAACCATTATATATTGGATGATATCAGTCTTCCCCACACTTCAACTTTGCTTCAGGTGTATACATGTCCATACTGGTGGAACAAGGGTTCAACAATCTATATTATTAACAAACAAGAGCAAAATCTTCAGTTCTCAGAAATCATTATTATGTAAATTTCCCCTTTTCAGCATGCAGAATGCTGACTTCATTTTTCAACAATTATTTCTTCCCATTGAGAAGCTCTGCCTCTATGATGAGACATATCTAGTCCTACGTTCTCTGCAGAATACTATGGTTTTTTTTATAATTCCTTTTTGTGTGGGAAGCACTGAAGTGTGGGAAGAATGCCTAGATAGTATTTTGTCATCACTATAGAAATGTAATTTTAAATATTTCCATACATTAAAATTTGGAATTGATTAAAATAGGTCTCTTCGAAGAAGTGTATTTCCAAACATCTTGTGCAACATTAACAGAGAGGTTACAACTCCATTCTCACTGGATTGCTTTTATATTTCAGTCAAGCCCAAGATGAATGTGAAACCATCTGGAGTGAAACCCATTTCCCCAGCAAAACAGACACTGAAGCGAAAAACATCAGAGACTCATCCCTCTGTGGCTGCAGTGAAGCCCCTGAGTCCTATTGCAAGCACAGAAATGAAAAAGTTTGCTTCTGAAAACACAGCTCTGGTAAGAAAACAGATTCATGCTATTAGATTGTGCTACTCAAATTCTGGGATGACAAGGGCATTAGATTGTTTTAGATATACTTTTCTATCTTACAGGAGTAGCAATTTTATGAGATAGTTGAGAGGACTTTTGCATCTAAACCTCTTCAGAGAGTTCTCTACTTATATTGATAGAATATGAATTATTTTGCATAAAAAAAGAACAATGGAATGGAAGTCCAGGAATAAAATAACTGGTGATAGTGAACTTCAGAGAGTGAGTTTATTTTTTATTTTATTTTCCTTAGGGAAGCACACCAGATCTTTCAAAGGACAATATAACTACTATGCCTAAGAGAGTGGATTATAACAGGTAATTATTATTTCTTTATAGCCATTTTGCACATGATTGGAATTTTCTCATACAGCAGCAGGACAAAATTGAATGTTTACTTGGCATAAATTGGATCATATGATATTTATGTTCTTTCTCTTCACATTTATAAGTAGCTATCTGGGTAATAGCCAATGAAAGCAGATTGAGGAAAAATTCTGTAAGAACCTTGAATATACTAGGTCTGAAAAATTTTAAGTACCTGGTTGCTAACTCTGAAAGTATTTGTCAAAGAAATATCTTTAATATGTTATAAACATATTTTTAAAATTCAATTATAAGTAACTAGCTGATAAGGTTTTCTCCTAGTGATTTCTGGCTAGTCGTGATAAAACAAAACTGAAATATTTCTTTAAATATGGCTGTAGATTAGAAAGCATCATAAGCATCATGTGGATACTTCAAATTTCTTAAGTGAAATCTAACTTGCTAATAGTTTTGAAGATGCACTGTGAGTTTGCAGATAACAAAGTTTAAAAGGCAGAAATATTCTAAACCAATTTGTAATTAATCTTGTAGGATTCCCAAGTCAACAGACCATGTATTTGTTTTTATAGTAATTTGTAGGTTATCTCTGATTTAAAACATTGGTAATATTTTGGTAGTTGTACAGTAACAAATAGACATCCTGTGCTATCCTAATTGTTTCACTTGGTATCTGTTTTTGCAGCTTAGCCCTCTATATCTGAAGTAGAGACTTAGTCTTAAGTCTTAGTCTTAAATCTTAGACTTAGTCTTAAGTCTCTACTTCAGATATAGAGGGCTAAGCTGCAGAAACAGATACCAAGTGAAACAATTAGGATAGCACAGGATGTCTATTTGTTACTGTACAACTTACTAAATTTCTTTAGATACTAAAGAAATCTTATATTAAAGTAATTATATTAGACTTTCAAAGTGCTACAAGTTGTTATGGTGTTTTTATTATATCTGATATGTCCATAGCAATCTAATATTTTCTGTGTATTATATGCTGCTTAACTTAATATGAACATTTAAAAGCAAGCAATAGGCTATATAGTGGAAAAATATCAATACGAACTGTTTATTGCCAACATTGCAGTAATATCTAATGGCAGTTTTGTGGAATTGTAGAGTTAGAAGATACATTAGAGATCATCTAGTCCAAACCTCTTCAGTGCAGAATTTGGTAGAGTATTTTTAACAGGTGCCATCTAGCCCACGGGTGTCAAACTCTTGGTATCACATTGCCATCGTGTGATGTTTTGTGACATTTTCCCCCTTTGCGGAGCTGGGGTGGGCATGGCCTACACATGATGTATCCAGCCCGCAAGTGGCCAGTTTGACACCCCTGATCTAGCCTCTATTTGAAGACCTCCATCAAAACAGAATTCGCTATCTTACGGGATAGCATGTTGTATCAGCTGACAGCTAATGTGCCAGAGCGTTCTTCCTGATTTCTAGCCTGAATTACCTACTTGTAGATTTAACACATTGTTTGGCTCTGGGGCAATATAGATTAAGTCCAATCCCTTACTACATGCTGTGAAATATAGGCCCTATTTTTTCCTGCTAGTCTGCACATCCTGGGCTTATTATATGGCCTAGATATTACTACAACATAATTTGTACTTTACCTACCTCTATTCTGCCTATAGTTAACTTGGTTAACTTGTCCATGGTTCCCCCCCCCCCCCCATTTTACTTGAACTGAAAATCCTGCAAAGGTTTACACATGATGTCTGTTTTCTACTTGCAGATGTATAATTGTTTTGTTTTTTCCCCCCTCTTCATGAAGCTCTGAACTGTATATTGAAAACCAGGTAACCTCCACATTGCAAGCAGAGGTAGCAAACCCAAGTTCCTCCCGTGCAGCAGTAGCAAAGACCCGCAGACTGAGCTCAACAGGACCTGGGAAGATTCAGTCTTCAGTTGAAGATGACTTTGATAAGCTGATTTGGGAAATCTCAGGAGGCAAATTGGAAGCAGAGATTGATTTAGATCCAGGAAAAGATGAGGATGAGCTCCTGCTTGAACTCTCTGAGATGATTGACAGTTGATTTGCTACACAGCTTCATTTCGAGAGAAAATAAAAACTACATGTTTTGTTGGATTACCCTTTCTCCTAGAAGAGTTATGACAAGTCTTAAAGCACACTTGAAACTGCTTGAAGAACTTGGCTGCATTACTTTGTTTTGAATTACCCTGCTGGTCAGAGATATGCCCCAACTATTGCTCATTTTAAATATTTTCAGAATGAAACCATGAACATTTCATCTAGAGAAGATCCAAGACCTACTCATAATTCTACATAGGAACTTTTTTTCATCATTATATTTTTTACTGAATTGTCATGCCTATTTTTCAGCTGTGTGGCTCATAATTTATCTGTATTTCAGAGCTTCCTTTTGCTTTTGGGGGTTATTTCGCAGTTTGGAGTCACTTCTTGGGTTATGTAAATTTTAAAAAATCCTAAAAATGGCAGAACTATTTATAATGCAGAGGAAAGGAACATAAACTTGGACCAAGCCTACTACATGTGCAACTTCTATCCTTATACTGTTGAAAATGAAGCAACATTTATATAGAAGATGGAATAGCACATTTTATTCTCATCCCATTCATCTTGTGCCATTTTGACTGATTTCATCTAGTATATAGAAATTCATGGGGAAAGTCACACCCCCTTTGTAATTTATTCATTTGAGAGATAATTTAAAACTTGCCCTGAATGGAGAGTATGATGGCCTGTACTGCTGGCGCTGCATGGGTCGTTTTAAGACAACCTTGGGACTGTTGCCCTCTGACATCTTAAAACAGCTTGAGACATCTCTGCTGAGCTTCTGGTTCTTTAGTTGCTCACTTAACTGTCCCCCCCCCCCCC